TGACACTCGTCACTACTTCTGTGTTTTGCAGGAGTTGCAAAATACCCCTGATGCTGCCCAGGAGGTCACAGAGAAGAGCCTGAGCCCTGCCTGAGCCCTGCCTGCCTGTCGGGGCTTGGAGGGCAATAAGTGCATGTTTCAGCCAGAGCAGTTCAGCCCAGATTTGCATCTCTTGGCCTGTCAGACTGGAGGAGTCCTGGACTTGGGCTGAAATGCAGCTCAGCATTGCCACAAGCCTCTCTGCTCTTACATCAGGCTCTGGCATGGGGTAGTCACGCAGGACCAGAGATGTTACACACTAATCTCCTGCTTCCTGCAGCTCTTCACGGAAACACTGCAAGGGCAGCAGTTATTGCTAACTGCTGTTATTAAACCTGACAACATCTCTCCCTCCAGAGAGAGGTGGATTTAGCAGACAGATGGGCTTGGACACATCTCAGAGCTCATCAGGGGCCACTGGGGCAGCAGTTGCCTCCTCAAGTACCCAAAACTCCCCAGCCAAAGCTCCAGCATCCAAACTAAGATATCTCTTAATAAAGGAGACTCCAGCATCACCTTGATGTCTATTAATAGCAGTCAGCATTCCCAGGACCATCTTAAATCCTCAGTATCTGCTGCTGTACAATGTCCAACAAACATGCTTAGGAGCTTGGAAATCATACTGAACCCCAGGCAAGAGGCTGAAGGCCAGCAAAATGCTATCCCTCTTCTTAGGTTGCCTGGGGAGAGAATTTGGTTCTAATGGCAAAATAACTCCTGCCCTGACTGTTCAGGTACAGCTCTCCATGAAGCTGACATAATTCAGATAAGCTCTTGGGTTCAAAACACTGTGCTGGGCTCTCAGCAATCCACCAGCCCCCCCAGACCTTCTCTTCCCACAGCTGTTGTGTCTCAGGCTGAAGTACAAGGACAAAACTCTTTGCAGTTTTGACCGAGCTCCTCCAAATCTTCCAGCTCCTGTGCCTGTGAGAAAGCACAGGGCTTTGCTCCTCTTCTGCAGAGGCTCCAGAGCGTGCAAACACAGGCAGTCCCAGGAGCCCCTCTCCTTTTACAGCCCACCCCCTTTTCCTTTGGCCATAAGGCTGCTTTTTCCTGCCCAGGGGACGTTTTTCTGTCAGATGGGCTCCTGGATTCAACCAGTTGTTTGTTCATGCCCACTGCTTCCTGTGTGCTTCAGCTCCCAGGAAAAAAGCCAGCCTGGATGTGGCTCCTGGGAGATCTGACCTGCAGCATCCTCTGTGGGGCAAGTCCCATTTCCAGGGTGGAAACCTGCTTCCAAGGGGCAGCAGTTCCACCTCCCTGGGAACCACAGACCTGAGCACCACTGTGCCCCCCACCACAACCAGCCCAACAAACCCAGAGGGTCTCTGCCTGCCGGGGGGACATTTCAGCTAAGCAAGAAAGAATGAATGGGCTTCTCATCCTGCTTTAGAGCTGGGAGGCTGCAGCATTGAGGGATGAAGTTCCTGGGAGCCACAGGAGCTGAGTGGGGCTTCCCATGGCCTCTGCACAGGATTAACTCTCCTCCCAGCATAGCAAAGTGTCTCCTGCCAGCAGGATCTCCCAGGGTGGGGAATATTCTGCCAAAATAAAGCAGTGTAAACCCACATCTCTTGTTACAGAGAACCCCCCAGACAGCACCAGTGACAACAGCCCCAGGAGGCAGCAAATGGAGGCAATGCAGTGACTGAAGAAGAGGCCCAGCTATTAGGAGCAAACTGCAGATAAGACATCTGGGAACACGACATGTTTCTGATACAGCCTCACTGACTGCAAAGCCTGCCCAGAAGCAGCAGTGAAACCTTTCTCCCATTAGATCTGCTGGGGAGCCCACTCACTCCTGCCTCACAACTTCATTGGCTTTGGTGGAAATGAGATCTACAAGTGGAAAAGTCCTTTTCCACTTCAGTGCTTTGCTGCGATGGATTTCAGCTGTCAGGCTTACGCTGCCTTGCACACAGCAGCACCATTTCTGATATCACTTGGGATGGTTTCTTCATTTACAGAGACGTCTCAGAATCCTTGTGATTAATAAGTTAATGTACTGGTTGCTTAGATAATGTAAAATTAAATTTTCCTGCTGCAATCAGCCAGTGCAGTGTGCCTGCAGCACTCTGAGAGCGCTGGACTCAAATATTTCACTGCCAGAATTTCTGAGAGATTTTATCTTCACAATAAAATAAAATGTCTTAAGTGGTCACTTAACATGAACAAGTTAAGAGATTTATGTAAAAATTCCATTTCCCTTGCTGAAAATGTAAAGTACCTTTTGCTTTACAAATGATTTTCGTTTGTGCAGACGTCTTGTTTGAGTTGGAGGAGGAGTTTTGCTGTTGTTTTGGAAATAGCTCTGACCACACTCAGGAATG